TTTTCCTCGGCCTTTCCCAGTGCTCTTCCCTCCACCAAGAATGCACTCCCAGGCCTACCCCCACCTTTTGGCATTCTGCCCGTCCACCAAACCAAACCAATGCCACCTCCCCTGAGAAGCCTCCCCAATCCCTGCCAGGAATGAGCGATGAGGACCCATGTGGGGCTCTACTGGGCCTCGGTGTCCTAATCAGCGAAATACATAAGACACAGACCGTCACCACTGAGAACAGGGTGGGGCAGAGTCATCTGGCTGATGGGTTCCCAAACTGGGTCCACACAGCTCCTGGGAGTCCCCAAGTCCTGCTCAGGGGTAGGTGAGATCAAATTGTTTTATTACTAATACCAAGACATTGACATTTTTAACTGTATCGAAATTTGTATTGATGGTGCAAAAGCAATAGTGGGTAAAATTGTTGGTATCATAACACAAATCAAGGCAAGCTGTACCAGGAGTCACTGCATTCACCACTTTCAAGAGCTTCCTTTTTTTTTTTTTTTTTTTTTTTTTTAATAGTTTCACTTAAGGGTGTCCTCTTGAAGTGAAGCAGTAAAACTAGTAATTTTATTAAATCTTAACCCTTTGTACTCATCATTGAATATGTGTGTAATAATACAGGATATTCACATAAAGTACTTCTGTAAAGTACTGAAGTCTGGTTGCTGCCACAGGAAAAGCACTTGTGCAGTTATTTGAGGTAAGGGCTAAAGTAGCCCCCCCCCCCTTTTTTTAATGCAACACCATTTTTACTTGACCAGAAAGCCCTACAGACAAACTTTTTAAAAAATTTTTTTGATTGATTTTAAAGAGAGAAGGAGAGGGGGAAATAGCGATGTGTTTTTCCATTTATTTATGCATTCATTGGTTAATTCTTATTTGTGCCCCGACATTGGTGTATTGGGACGACACTCTGAACAACTGAGTTACCCAGCAGGGCTGACAGACAAACTTTAGACCTGACTACTTGGCAGAGACGCTTTCAAAAAGAATCAAAAAAAAAAAAAAAAATCAAGTGAGCCTGTCACTTCAAGGAAAACAAATCGCCTTTATTAGCAATGATAAAATTCTATATTTTTTCTTGTTTTTATTGATTTTAGAGAGGAAACATCAATGAGAGAAAAACATTGATCAGCTGCCTCCTGCAGGCTTCCTACTGAGGATCGAGTCTGAAAACAGAGCATGTGCCCTGGCCAAGAATTACCTGATGACCTCTTGGTTCATGGGTTGACACTCAACCACTAAGCCACACCACCTGGATATAAAATTTGCCGAGACTAGTTTGGCTCAATGGATAGAGTGTCGGCTTGGGGACTGAAGGGACCCGGGTTCGATTCTGGTCAAGGGCATGTACCTCGGTTGCGGGCATATCCCCAGTAGGGGGTGTGCAAAAGGCAGCTGATCGATGACTCTCTCTCATCGATGTTTCTAGCTCTCTATCTCTCTCTCTTCCTCTCTATACAAAATCAATAAAATATTTTTAAAAATGGATATAAAATTCCATTTTTAAGTAAAAATTCCAATTTTGGAACATTTGTATCAGTCACCATAGTCTTGACAGTTTCCTGGTATATTTCTGATGAAATTGGTGTAGTGGTGATAGTAATAGGTATGATTATTGGGTGTACCGGTTAATAATGCAGATTTTTTTCGATAGATGGAATTACACATATGTTGATAATATATGCCTTTTGATATGTATATTATTTTTTGTATTGACAACAAGCTTAAAAACTTCATATGTCAAATTTGCTGAAGGTGTTAAATTATAAATATTTTTACGCTTAATTTCATGCCAAAAAAAAAAAAGAGCATTTGCTGGAAATTTTCATTCATTACTTTGAAGAAAAGTGCTATTGAAAATTATCATATACTTCAAGAAGCTTATGGTGAACATGCTCCATCTCAAGATACTTGTGAACGCTGGTTTAAATGCTTTAAAAGCTATGATTTCGAGGTGAAAGACAAAGAACGTCCAAAAGTTTGAAGACCAACAATTATAAGCATTATTGGATGAAGATGCATGTCAAACTCAAAAACAACTTGCAGAAAGTTACTGGGTGTACCAGTTAATGATGTGGATTTTGTAATCAAAGAAAACACAATAACCCCAAGAGAAACATCAAAAGTGCTTTCTTCAAAGTACTGTCCATCGCTAGCTATACATTTCCCCCGTCCTTCAGGTAATCTGTGGATTCCGTGCCAATAGAACTTTTCCTGTTTTGAGGCAAACCATCCAGAGACCCACTTTTCCACTTCCTCGTACGTTTGGAAGTGCTGCTCAGAAAGTGTGTGTGCCATCCATCAGGACAAGTGGTCATCTGAAGGAGCGAGGTCTGGTGAATACGGCGGGTGGGTTAATACTTCCCAGGCAAGATCTTTTAACGTGTCTTTAACGGGTTTTGAAGTGTGTGATGGTGCGTTATCATGAAGCAAAATTACTTTGCCGTGTGTTCTGGAACATTCTGGTCATTTTGTGATCAAAGTGTGGTTCAAATTGATCTGGACATTCTTTGTCTTTCACCTCGAAATCATTACTTTTAAAGCTTTTAAACCAGAGTTCACAAGTATCATGAGATGGAGCATGTTCACCATAAGCTTCCTGAAGTATATACAATAACTTTCAGCAGCACTTTTCTTAAAAATATAGTAATGAATTAAAAGTTCCCTAGCCAGAACCGGTTTGGCTCAGTGGATAGAGTGTCGGCCTGCGGACTGGAAGGTCCTGGGTTCGATTCCGGTCAAGGCATGTATCTTGGTTGTGGGCACATCCCCGGTAGGAGGCGTGCAGGAGGCAGCTGATCGATGTTTCTCTCTCATTGATGTTTCTAGCTCTCTATCCCTCTCCCTTCCTCTCTGTATAAAATCAATAAAATATATATATTTTTTAAAAAGTTCCCACAAATGCTCTTTTTTTGGCACAAAATTTGACATCTTTAAGCGTAAAAATATCTATGTTAACACCTTCAGAAAATTTACATATGAAGTTTTGAAGCTTGTCAATACAACAAAATAGCATACATATCAAATCATATATATATATCAACATATCTGTAACACCATCCACTGAAAAAAATCCGCATTATTGGCCAGTACACCTAGTATATCCATCAAGATTTACCGTATTTGGCCCTAACCGGTTTGGCTCGATGGATAGAGCATTGGCCTGCGGACTGAAGGGTCAAGGGCATGTACCTTGGTTGTGGGCACTTCCCCAGTAGGAGGTGTGCAGGAGGCAACTAATTGATGTTTCTCTCTCATCAATGTTTCTGGTTCTCTATCCCTCTCCCTTCCTCTCTGAAAAAATCAATAAAATACATTTTTTTTAAAAGAAAAGATTTACCATATTTGGTCTGGCCAGTGTGGCTCAGTTGGTTGATAGACATTCCATGCACCAAGAGGTCACTGGTTTGATTCCCGGTCTGGGCACATGCCCAAGTTGCAAGTTCAATCCCCAGTAGGGAGTGTGTGGGAGGCAGTCAATCGGAGTTTCTCTCTCCCTCTCCCTTCCTCTCTTTCTCTAAAATCAATAAAAATTTACCTTAAAAATATTTACCATATTTGGAATTAAAACTAAGAAAATTTAAAAACATTTATCCATTCACTTAAAAATAACTAATAATTACATATTAACATAGATAATATATATTTTTCCATTTTTTTAACCCCTTTAATAATATACATCTTCTCTAAGGCTGGCTCTCTTACCCCCTCAGCTCTTTCTGGCAAGGTTCTCACCCCAGATCTCCCCATTATGTCAGAAGGGGCCATCAGGCGGGGCACTCGTCAGCTGCAGCGGGGGCGATATTAATCCCGTTTACCGCAGTGTGCACAGGCTGGGGGTCAGCCGCCAGGTCTAAGGCAGAGCTGCTGATGGGTGTGTTGCAGTCAGGTTACCTGGAGATAGGATTTTCTCGGTCTTCCAAGTGGCAAGGTAGATCCTGGGTGAGGACACAGCCCCCCAGGCCAGAGTCCTCTGACCAGGAGCAGCTGGCGGGAGTTCTAAGTCCCTTCCCTGTGTGCTAGGAAAACATTTCCCCTTAAGTAGAAATGTGGCCTAAAAGGGTGGTGGGCAGGCGGACCTAGCCTCCCCAGTGCCAAAGGTCAGTGGACAATGGAAATGGACTGGTCAGCCACAGCAAAGACTGGGAAGAGGGGCCCAGGGAAGGACGCGTGGTGGGTGTGGAGCACCGTGCCTGAGGCTGGGTCCTAGAACAGCAGCTCCTGGGCCTGCAAGTCCAGCAGCCCGCCCGGCTGGGCGGGGCAGCGCAGCAGCCCCAGGGGCTCGTGCTGCCCGTCGAGTGAGAAGCAGAGCTCTTGGTCGTAGCGGGAGAAGACCCGGGCGTAGGCATGGTGGCCCAGAGGAGAGTCACTTCCAGAACCTTGTAGGCACGCTGTTCTGCACATTTACCATCCAGTATGCAGCCCAGACTGGAAGGAGGTGGCAGCCCGGGCATGGGGCCAGTGGTCAAAGCGCTCTGGGCCATGTGCAAAGGTCTCGGACTTCTTGGCGTTGGAGGTCAGAGTCCTTCCATCATCTGACCATTGCAGGAAGTTGACAGCCTTCTTGTGGATGCGTACATCCTCTGTGCCCGAGAGGGAGCCGAGAGCTGCGGTTGCCCAGAGTTGGGACAGAAGTGTGCTCCGAGCACACGTCTCATTTAGGTTTAACTTTTTCGACTCCTGGGGATCCAAAATGCCCTCTGCTTCCTCAGTCCTCTCAAAAATCTCCTGCTCCTTCTGACTCAGCTGGAGGTTATCCACATGGGTGAGCATGTGCACAGGCTGGTGCGGATGGTGTCTGGCTTCTGCAAAGCCTCAGCCCAGGGCACTCGCTGCGTCAGGATGCTCTGGGGACCCGCTCCTCTTCGCCATGCACCCGTCCCAGCAACCGCTGCTCCCCAGTCTCACGTGGACTCCTCACCAGACCCAGCAGCTGGGTGACCAGTCCCCGAGCTGCGCTGGCCATGCTCACTGCGCTCTGCTTCTTTCCCGGTAGGGCCTCAGCATGGACTTGTGGTGCCAGCACTCTGTGACTGCAGTGTCCCCTGGTCCACAATCTTGTCCCGCAGCTCTTCTGCGCGCCCCTCCGCGGGGTGGATGTGGTGGCCCTGACAGCGGCCGCCCAGCACACCGGCCAGCAGAGCCACTTCAGAGCCTTGGTGCTTCGGGCAGAGGCCCCGGTTCAGGTCCCAGTCCTGCCCTGGAACCAGTCCTGTGCTCTCCGCAGACATGGCGGAGGACCGACTGCTGGCGCCACATGCTCCCTGTGGCCGATAACATATATATATATATATATTCCCTGTTTCCCCGAAAATAAGACAGTGTCTTATATTAATTTTTGCTCCCAAAGATGCACTAGGTCTTATTTTCAGGGGATGTCTTATTTTTCCATGAAGAAGAATACGGTACACATTTATTGTTAAATGAAAATAAAGGAAATTTATTACCTGTATATGGTACGGTAGTAAGGTAGTTGTCAACACAAACTAGACAAACTGTGAATCCTACAGTATCAAGAATTTACTCATTTATTCAATGACAATCATGTCATCATCTTCTGGAACATCATCATAACAATCCAATTCCTGAATTTCCTGGTGAATTTCTTGTGCCTCCATTTCTTTCAGAATCAGTGGGCCAAATCTCTCATGTTTAGCCTGGGGGGGGACTTATATTTCACTCAGAAGGAAACCTGTAAGTAGGTCTTATTTTTGGAGGATGTCTTATTTTTGGGGAAACATGGTATATATATATATATTAACTTTTCTGGAATAAAACAAAATTAGCAAGAAGAGTGGCATTGTTTTAACATTTTCAAATCTTATTACTATCTGGTTTAATAAAGCAAATAGCCCCCTTGAGATTAGATTCTCAGATCTGCTTTGGCTTTCAATCTGTTGTGGTATGTTTGGTTTTATTTGTTGTTGTTGTTGAAGTATATGAAGAAAAGATGGCCTCACACCACTTTCTTTTTTTCTTTTTTTAATATTTTATTGATTTTTTAGAGAGAGGAAGAGAGAGGGATAGAGAGTTAGAAACATCGATGAGAGAGAATCATCGATCAGCTGCCTCTTGCACACCCCCTACTGGGCATGTGCCCGCAACCAAGGTACATGCCCTTGACCGGAATCAAAACCGGGACCTTTCAGTCCGCAGGCCGACGCTCTATCCATTGAGCCAAACTGGTTTCGGCTTTTTTTTTCTTTTTTCTTTTCTTTTTCTTTTTTTTTTTTTTATGTATTTTTATTAATTTCAGAGAGGAAGGGAGAGGGAGAGAGAAACATCAATGATGTGAGAAACTCATTGATCGGCTGCCTGTTGCATGCCCCACACTGGGGATCCTTGACCAGAATCGAACCCAGGACCCTTCAGTCCATAGGCCGATGCTCTATCCACCGAGCCAAACCAGCTAGGGCCTCACACATGTTTCTAATGGAAAAAGTGAGGAGTAGCCAAGGCCGGTTTGGCTCAGGGTAGAGCGTCGGTCTGCGGACTGAAGGGTCCCAGGTTCAATTCCGGTCAGGGGCATGTACCTTGGTTGTGGGCACATCCCCGGTAGGGGGTGTGCAAGAGGCAGCTGGTCGATGTTTCTCTCTCATTGACGTTTCTAACTCTCTCCCTTTCTCTCTGTTAAAAATCAATAAAATATATATATTTTTAAAAAGTGAGGAATATTTTCATCATCTTTTCAGATAATTTGATACTACACCAAAACTTAACAAGTGGTAGTCTCTCAAAGGCTAGTTGCCATGTATACTGAAATCCTCTCATATTCTGTTACATTAAAGTCCATATTTTGAATGGCTCTTTTGCCCATTCCTGCTTTTGTAATGTACATGCAATGGTCATTTAGAAAACATTAGCTCACTGAGCTATGCAGATCTCTCAATTGTTAACACATTTCATTACATAATACTATATACTAGATGTACCAGTTAATAATGAGGACTTTTTTTTTTTCCCAATAGATGGAGTTACACATATGTTGATATATATGCAATTGGATAGGTATGCTATTTTGGTATATTGACAACAAGCTTCAAAACTTCATATGTAAATTTTCTGAAGGTGTTAACATAGATATTTTTACGCTTAAAGATGTCGAATTTTGTGCCAAAAAAAGAGCATTTGTGGGAACTTTTAATTCATTACTTTATTTTTAAGAAAAGTACTGCTGAAAGTTATTGTATATACTTCAGGAAGCTTATGGTGAACATGCTCCATTTCATGATACTTGTGAACGCTGGTTTAAAAGCTTTAAAAGTAATGATTTCGAGGTGAAAGACAAAGAATGTCCAAGTCAATTTGAACCACACTTTGATCGCAAAACGACCAGAATGGGCCAGAAGACAAGGCAAAGTAATTTTGCTTCATGATAACGCACCATCACACACTTCAAAACCCGTTAAAGACACATTAAAAGATCTTGCCTGGGAAGTATTAACCCACCCGCCATATTCACCAGACCTCGCTCCTTCAGATGACCACTTGTCCTGATGGATGGCACACACACTTTCTGAGCAGCACTTCCAAACGTACGAGGAAATGGAAAAGTGGGTCTCTGGATGGTTTGCCTCAAAACAGGAAAAGTTCTATTGGCACGGAATCCACAGATTACCTGAAGGACGGGGGAAATGTGTAGCTAGCAATGGACAGACAGTACTTTGAAGAAAGCACTTTTGACGTTTCTCTTGAGATTATCATGTTTTCTTTGATTACAAAATCCGAATTATTAACCAATACACCTACATAATGTATATAAATGTACATAAACAAAAGCTCTTTGTGGCCCTGGTCAAGTCAGGGCACATACAAGAATCAACCAATGAATGCATCAGTAAGTAGAATAACAAATCAATGTTTCTCTCTCTTTCTAAAAATCAATCAACTTTTAAAAAATTATTTTAAGTTATATTTAAAAAAAAAAAAAAGGGTCTTTGGAGGTCCTCAATAATGATTAAGCCTGAAACAGTGTCCTGAGGGGGAAAGGTTGATAAACTGCTGGTCCCGTATTTACACGGCATGAAAGACTTAGGGTAAACATAAACATCTGGATCGTAGAGACAGGCCAAAAGGGGCTCCCAGAAGTGGTTCCTTTGAGGCGGTCCCAGCCCAGGGCATTGAAATCTGGGTGTGGTTTAGGAGGAAGGGGCTTGGAGTGGGGTGGGGCCATGTGACTCCAGGGTGGGGGTTCTGGAAGAGGCTTCTGGGAGTCCCCAGCTTCCCTCTGCTGCCCCTGCAGGGGCTGTGTGGAGGGGGGAGGCCCCCAAAATACCACAGACCTCCAGGCACATAGGATTGAAACCTAGCTAGCCAGGAGTTCTGGTCCTCCCCAGATGGCTTCCATCCTACCCCCCACCACCCACGAGAAGGATTTGGACCTTAAAATTACCGTCACCACCGTGCAGCAGACAATACAGAGGGGACATTATGTGCCGAGAGAGAGGCCTCGTTGTTGGCGCGGCGCAGAGAGACAGCAGTGCTCTGTTCGGAGCCGCCCGGGGGCTACTCATGTGCTCCAGCCCAGACCCTCACACCCCAGAGCGTATCCTCACCCCGACGCAGACTCACCCGGGGACCTCTCGGCACATGCTGCAGCACACAGGAGCCTTCGAATGGGCCAGCTCCCGCCCCACCCCCACCTCTGCGCACACCGCCACCCACCACCTCCGAGCCCTGGGTCCGCACCACCAGCCCCACACATCCTCCCGCACAGGCACCCTCACCCGGGCAGCGAGCTCGGTGGGGGCGCAAGGGACACAAGGCAGCCACATTGGGGGCCTGCCCTGCCCGCCCCGCCCGGTCCCGCCTGGCCGAGATCACAGGGTACTGAAACCAGCAGCCGCCTAGGCTGGGCCAGACGTGCCTAGACCCACAGAAGGACACAAAGGCTGCCTTGTTGCTTTGCCAAACCCTCCCGGCTCTGGAGTGGGAGGGAGGGACCAGGGCAACTGGCCTCTACCCCCAGTTCCTGGGCTGGCCCTGGAGCAAGACTGGACTTTAACCTCTTAGACCATCACCCCTGCTGGGGCAAGAAGGCAAGGTGAGGGCAATCCGCACCTCCTGATAAAGCCGACCGGAGAGGCCCCAGGCCCAGAGCGTAAACTCCACCACAGATCTGTTTGTTTCTGGGCTGGAACGCTCCCTCCCAACGTTTGCACAGGTTGTTCCCTCTGCGCGAAGCTCCCCAACCCCCACCCCCGCCCCTTGTCTGGGGACATTTTTGGACAATGTTCAGAGAGCACCTACCTGCGCCAAGAGCCCCTCCAGACCCCTGGCTTCCCCCTCAAGTGTCCCCAGGAAGCGCCAGGTGCCCACACGAGAATGACCAGCACCACCCAGCCGGGTCTGGCTCACAGGCAACGGCAGGCCTGGCAAAGGGACAGGTCAAGTGGGCACAGCCAGGTCCATGGACTCAGTCACAATGCAGGCCCCACAACCACACCGTGCCAGGGGAGAGGGGGCAGAGTTCTCCCCACACAGCCCAGTCTCGGGGACACAGGGACACAGAAGGGAGTTCCTCACATCCAGGCCCTGTTCTCTCTGCCTGGGACACTCTTTCCCATCCACCTGCTTGCCAAGTCCTACAGAGCACTTACTGCGTGGTAAGGGGTATTTACACGCATTAGCTCATTATCCTAGAAATAACCCTTTGACGTAAGTGCTATTATATCCCATTTTGAAGATGAGGAAAGTAGCCTTGGCTGGTTTGCCTTAGCGGATAGAGCACTGGCCTGTGGACTGAAGGGGTCCTGGGTTCAATTCTGGCCAAGGGTACAAACCCAGGGTTGTGGGCTCGATCCCCACTAAAGGGTGCGCAGGAGACAGCCTTTCTCTCTCATCATTGATGTTTCTATCTCCCTCCCTCTCTCTTCCTCTCTGAAATCAATTAAAATACATATTTAAGTGATGGGAAAGCAAAGCACAGCAAGGCTGAGGAACGCTCCCGAAGTCGCACGGCTCTCAGTGGTGAAGCTGTAATCAATTGTGTGATGCTTCCCCACAGGGATGGTTCTGAGAAATGCGTTGTTATGCGATTTCGTCATTAGGCAATTTTGTCGTTGTGCAAACATCATCGTGCACGTACACAAACCTCGATGACACAACCTACTACTGTAATTGCATGTGCTATGCGTTTATACGTCTGACAGCACAGCAGGTCTGTTTACACCGGTATCACCACGGACACGTGAGACATGTGCTGCGCTATGAAGTTATGACAGCGACATCA